TACATACATACATACATACATACATACAATGGAATATGCCCAATTGTGAAGAGACAGAGCAGGATTCGGGGGCTGAACCGAAGGGGCCGGTGGCTGAGACTGCAAAGAACTCGTGGAAGGCTTGTGGGCCGGTGGATTTGACTGAAGGTGCCCTGGATGGATGGATGATAATTATGATAGACAGATACATACATAGGATTAGATAGATAAGATTAGATAGATAGATAGATAGATAGATAGATAGATAGATAGATAGATAGATAGATAGATAGATAGATAGATGGATAAAGACAGACAGACAGACAGACACAATATCATTTGATATGAAAGAGAGAGAGAGATAAAGACAGACATTATTTAATATAGATAGATAGATAGATAGATAGATAGATAGATAGATAGATAGATAGATAGATAGATAGATAGATAGATAGATAGATAGATAGGAGAGAGATGGGATATAGAGATGGGAGAGATGGGAGATGTAGAGACAGATAGATACATAGGATAGGATAAGATAGATAGATGGGGGAGATGTAAAGATAGAGATGATAGAATAACTTTATTGTCACTTTGAATGTGTAGACTAATCAGCATACATTAAAATGAAATTTCATTGCATACAACTGTCAAAGGGTCCCCGTCTCCCGTATACACTACATGCACATGACAAGATAAATAAATAAAATAAAATAGTATGCCTAGTGTTCTGATGGGAAGACAGGGGGAGGAGGCTGGTGTTGGCAGGGGGCACATTCTGGTGTGTTTCCCCAGCCAAGGACCTGGGATTTATTGAAGCTGTTTCTGCCAAAAACTTACTGTTGGGCAATTATTGGCTTTCAGCAATCAGTGATCAACGCAGGTGTTACAGCCACAATTGAGCCAAAAGTCTCTGTTGTTAAGCAAGACCTTTGTTAAGTGGGTTTTGCCCCATTTTTACCACCTTCCTGGCCACAGTTGTTGAATTGAATTGAATATTTGGCCAAGTGTGACACATAAGGAATTTGTCTCCACTACAGACGCTCTTAAGGGAATCACTGCAATCTTTCAGTTAGTCACACGGTCGTTAAGGGAATCTGGGTTCTCCATTGACTTTGCTTGTCAGAAAGCGGCAAAAGGGGGTCGTGTAACCCCCGGGATTCTGCAACCGTCATAAATACGAGCCAGTTGACAAGCATCCAAGTTTTGATCACTTGACCATGGGGATGCTGAAATGGTTGTAACTCTGAAAATCGGTCATAAATCATTTTTTTCAGTGCCGTTGTAACTTCAAACGGTCATTAAGTGAACTGCTGTAAGTCGAGGACTCAGAGATTCAGAGATCACAGGTATTTTTAAGAATTTTGTCTCAGTTACTGATGATGTGAATGAGAAGCGTTGACTGCTCAAATTGGCCATAGAAGATAGCTGGCCGATGAGGTGGCTTATGCAGGCCTTAACCTGAAAGGTGATAGTGGCTGAAGATCCTTGAGGTGAGAAACAGCTACCGTATTTTTTTCGGAGTATAAGACGCACCACGATTTTGAAGAGGTAAATTAAAAAAAAAGTTTTTGCACTCTGGATGCCTCCCAAATCCTCTGCACGCCTCATTTTTTTGCAAAAGAAAAAAAAAGACCATGCATAGCTTTTAGGAGGCTCATAGAGTGCTCCTGGGGGCGCAAAAATGAGAAAAACGGCCATTTTTTGCTCATTTTTGCCCTCCCCAGCCCCCAGGAGCACTCTGGAAGCCTCCTAAAGGCTATGCAGGGCCATTTTTGCAAAGGGGGTGGGGTTTCTGTAGGCCCAAAATGCTGCATTCAGTGTGCAAGACACACCCAGATTTTTTTTAGGGAAAAGGTGCGTCTTATACTCCGAAAAATATGATAGTCCTTGATTTACGACCACAATGCAACCAGAATCTCAATCATCATTAAGCAAGGCGGTCGACTGAGCGGTGCC